CAAACTCTGAAGTCATAGTGAATGGGACGAGCGGCGCAATTATAGGCTCATTAGTGGCAGAGGCGGGAAGCTAGGTCAAGGCCGGCTTGTTGAGAATCTAGGATGGCAGCAAACTGAAAGAGCGAACCGAAAAGGGCGTGCAGTGGCTAAGGGTGACACCAGGCGCAGCAGTGGCAAGAATAGAAGGTGGAGACATAGTGGCGACAGTCAGGGCGACAATTGTAACGAGCTTGCAAGCTCAAGTAGATGCAGTGGCAATGTGTGTAGGGAGTAAGCGGCGGTAGCGGGGAAATTTGCAGCTGCAGCAGCTGGCGGCAAGTTGCCGCGCTAGGGCAGCGCGAGCGTGAGCGTAGGCAGTTCAGGGGCAGGTGGTGCGGGCATGGGCGCTGGAAGCAGTGCGAGCGCGGCTACACGTCCGCGGGCAGTAGCGCGTGCAGTTAGGTGGGCGGCTGCATGAACGCAGGCAGCTGCGCGAGCTTCTACGCGAGCGGGTGCGCAAGTGCAGGCAGCGGCGCGAGTGGCGGGCAGCAGGGTTAGCAGCGGCAGCAACAGCAACGCCAGCGGCAGTAGTGTTAGCACCGAGCGAGCAGGCTGCAGTGCAAGTGCGCGCGCGTAGTGCGGGCAATGAAAGCGGGCCGCGGGAGGCGGTGCCAATGCGACTGATGGCGGCAGTGTGAGCGCGATGGTGGCAGCGCGAGCGCGTGGGTGGCAGCGAGTGTGCGGGCGGCAGTACGAGCGCACCTAGGGCGCTACGAGGCGCTAATACGGAGCGAGCTAAGGTCGGACGAGGGTGGGCTAGACCAGGGTGGGGCGAGGCGGAAGCGTGGATCCTAAACCTACGATTGAGACCATGTCAGCAAGAACAAAACTACTACTGATATCAGGAGGGCATTTAGGGTTCATATGAATGAACCAAAGTTATACCATCTACAGAGTAACCCAATTTAAGCAAGTTAGCCTACAAAACAGATACAGTTATAACTTGACATATAATGCCTGGTTTTGATTATCCTAGCGATAAATATTTGTGGAGGACAGGGCTTCAGATTCGTTTTGGGCCACCCTTAGTAATCAGGGTTCTGGGTATAGTCAACCCTGATGCCTAGGGTAAAATTTTTGTTTCCTTGACAATTGCAGGGTAAAAAAACTGTAAGTCTATTTGCACAGGATTTTTGAACATTGCTGAGTTAGTCAAATTTAGCACTTAGTGGCTCAGTTGGTTACATGGCGGCTTGGGTCTGAAAGACTGCAGGTTCAAATCTCGCTTGCTGGGGCCCGCATAGTGTTTCGTCTCGCTATGGAGCATTCGGTCCCAGTATTACTGGGCTTGTACACTGTACAGTCAAGGAAATAAGTTCCTTACGCTGTTTTTCAAAGGGTACAAAAAAAATCACTTTCTGGCCTAGGATAAGAAATCCACTACCCTGTCTGTGAAAGGGTAACTGAAAAAAAGCGGCCGCCAGTCAGGGCAAAAAGGGTATTTTACCCTGATAACGAGAGCCCTGGTGGAGGAACATGCCTATTTGGTAACCACTAGGTCAATATGTTCGTAAGAAAAGCAAGAGAAGAGAGTGCATCTTGCTTCCCTTCTAGAAGGCAACTCCAATTTCTTTTTTATTCGGTTTTCTTCCCTTACAAACTGTCACTGTACTTGTGCCATGGCTGCTCAATAGAGCGAGCAAGCAGGACCGTCCCCGCATTGCTTACATGCGTAGGCTGGAAGATCAGAGGCTGAACAGTGACGTGGTAGCCGGTAAAGGCGGAACTTGTGCCGTATATTATGCTTCGCAATGCCGCTCATCAGAACTCTAAGCTGCTGGTTTGCTGAGAAGGGTGCGATTGCAGGAAAGCAGCCAGGTGTGGTTGGGACATGAGGGAACAGGTGAGGCGGAATCGTGCCCTGATGTGCGCAAGGAGAGAGTTAAATCGATCATCCTGTGATAAGTGCTGTTGGGCAGAGAAGAGAATGGGGGGAGGAAGATGGATAGAGCGAGACCGGGTGAGGGAGAGCAGGTGAGGCAGAATAGAGCCCTGATGTGCGCAAGGAGCAAGCTGAGTCAGTCGTCTGCGGACTAAGTGTAGTGGGGCAGAAAGGAGAACGACGCGGGAAAAGATGTGTAGGAAGAGACCGGGTGACAAAGAGCAGGTGAGGTGGAATTGTGTTGTAAGGCGTCTCAGAAACACAAACTGGATGCTCTTGCTGCAACTCATATCGCGGTCGGGTAATGAGTTAAGGCGGGTTAGACTAACCAGTTGTTTTGAACTGAACTTATTTCGGGGTTGGTTATGGGGAAATCAGAAATGAGTTGCTGCAGCTGTTGCACGGCTTTGGTTGCCCTGGCGGGGAGAGAGGAATGGGCGGAATGGAGAGACAGACGGATGGGATTGATGGCAGGGGTGGGGGGGGGAGGGTGGGGAAAGGGGAAGGCAGGGATGCAGGGGTGGAGGGGAGGAAGAGGGATGTGGGGGAATGGGGGGGTGGGAGGGATGGAACGGAGGGAGGTATCGTGGGGAGGGATGGCGGGGTTAGCAGGGGTCGGAGGGAAGGGTGAGAGGAATGGGAGAGACGGGAGGGATGGACAGAAGCGGATTGAGGATGGGAGGGAAGCAAAGGATGGTGGGACTGGGGAAGTGCAAGATGAGCCGCCGTGCACCTATGGGCGCCGTGCACCTGTGGGTGCCGTACACGTGTGGGTGCCGTACACCTGTGGGTGCCTTACACCTGTGGGTGCCGTACACCTGTGGGTGCCGTACACCTGTGGGTGCCGTACACCTGTGGGCGCCGTGCGCCTGTGGGTGCCGTACACCTGTGGGCGCCGTGCACCTGTGGGTGCCGTGCACCTGTGGGTGCCGTACACCTGTGGGTTCTGTACACCTGTGGGTGCCGTACACCTGTGGGTGCCTTACACCTGTCGGTGCCGTACACCTGTGGGTGCCGTACACCTCTGGGTGCCGTACACCTGTGGGTGCCCTACACTTGTGGGTGCCGTACACCTGTGGGTGCCGTACACCTGTGGGTGCCGTACACCTGTGGGTGCCGTGCACCGGTGGGTGCCGTACACCTGTGGGTGCCGTACACCTGTGGGTGCCGTACACCTGTGGGTGCCGTACACCTGTGGGTGCCGTACACCTGTGGGTGCTGTACATCTGTGGGTGCCGTACACCCATGGGTGCTGGTGGTTGTAGGGAGACAAAAAGCAACCGGACTTGAACAAGTTTAAGACTTTATGGTACTTGGGGGAGGGAGGGTAAGGAAGCGACAGGCGGGGTGGAGGGAAGGGAAGGAGACGGGATGGATGAGAAGAACAAAATGAGAATGAAGCGCTCCAAAAACGGGATGGGAGGCGCTGGGATGTTGGAGGTGGAAAGAAGAGGAGCAGTAAACGGGATGGAAACTAGGAAATAAGAGAGGAGATTGGGGATTGGGGATGGAGAGAACCAAGGGAATGAACATCACTGTTTAAGGACCCAAAGTTGGTTTGGAAGGGACGGAAAGAAGTGGATGGGAAAAGAAGGAAACTGGAGGGAAACAAGTGGATGGGAGGCAAAGAAGGGGGTGGGAGAAAAAATAAGGGGGTGGGAGAAAAATAAGGGGGTGGGAGAAAAAGAAGGGGATAGGAAGGAAGTGGCAGTAAGTGGATTAAGTGGCAGGAGGATCCAGCGGTGAGGATTGAAGGTGGAATCTTGCCTGGGGGAGAATCGTGTGGAGGGGGTTGATTGGATGACTTGCTTCCACACGGCTGCACAACCCCACATGAAGCCCAGCTCGTCCCCTGATGGTGTTGCGGGATGGGGCGGAGTGGGGTGCAGAGCAGTGCCCTGTGATGGGATGGGGTGGGGTGGGGTGGGGTGGAATAGGACGGGATGGAATGGACTGTGTGGGACGGGGCGGGCCAGGGCGGGATGTGGGGGAATGGATGTTCCAGAATGATGAGTGCTGCGTGGTGTATATTCCATGATGGCATGGCGTATGACGCGCGTTGCGGCAGAACAGGTACAATAATGCATTATGGATGCTATCTTATACCCCCCCTCATAAGTGAGCTTGTGTGGTGGGACGCATGATACGCATTCCGTACATCGCAGCTTATGCATACCATGTGCGTACGAAATTCCACCCACCTATCATGAACCCATGCTCCAAGCCCGTTTCTCTCCCCTCTTCTCTTCCCAATCGCAGGCCGTCCCTGTCAATCACGACAAAACTAGGTCAGCCGATGATGCTACTCTTAGAGGAAGTGCAGTTAGAGGGAGAGGATAAGGGGAAAACGCATGGTGAGAAAGTCATCGGAAAAAACCGAGGAGTGTGTTGGGGTGGGTTGGGGAAGTTTGGGTTAATTGTGATGCCTTTCCTTCAGTTTCCCGTCCACCTCGTAGATAGTAGATGGGTTGTTCCCAAATAGACTGTGGATCGTACCTGCTGTGGATCAGGGGATTGCGTCTGATTACACGCGTCACTGTAGAGTCTGGTTCAGCACGTTCGAACTTGGTTGCAGCCGTGTTGTCAATCGCAATCAACACTGATTATGGGCGGGAGTTGGCGAGGATCATCGTGACTGCGTGCACGTGTAATCAGTAGGGGTCGTTTGTATCGCTGTGTGGCGATTTAGAGTGCACCTTTGTCCATCCAGGTCGCTCTGGCGAGTCGATGACGAAGGGGTTACTTTGTCTAACGAATTGTTAATAAGAGCTAGAATCGAAGTAACATTTCGTTACTGTTCGCATGCCCTGTGATTATAGTCGGGTTTATATATGATAAAATTGTGGTACAGTGACTGTACAATATTCAACATCCAGAATTTTTAAAATATTAAATAGTGTGTTTTTGATGAATCGATTCATTAGCTACAATTGTTCATAACAAGTATACGGCTCCAGAGCATTTGACAACACATTATTTCAGAAATGTATTATTATGAGGATTAGCATTGTAACCCTAGCAGTCATGTAATAACCACTCCAACCTCATGCTAAATAAAATACTCTTAGCATCCAATTTCCTAGGGTAAACCTGCAGGGAACACCTGAGACTCATAACCCTCAATCAATAGCTTCACGTTGGGGGACATCCTGAAGCCAGCAGGAGCAGCCGGGTCCCAGATCGCGGTGTCTCCGTTCTCGTATGTCTCCCTAATCCAGGTGACTAGGTGCCCGATCTTCACCTCGACATTCTGCTGGTTCACGGTCTCGGAACCGTCGAGTGCAGGGTTCACTTGCCCTCTGGCATTTGCCAGAGGCCATTCCACCTGCATCAAGAAAAGCAACCAAAATGAGTCTTCACGGACTCGCGGTTATGACCTTAAACCCTCCCCTGGAATAGCGACTCACTCACCACATTCAAGGCGTATCCAACTGCAGGGAACTTCACCATGATCGTTGTCGCCTTCTTGCTCCCAAAACCGCGCAGCAGGACGAGTTCGAATGCCCGGTTGGCAAACGGCCTACACGTTGCAGCGTTGAAGTGCCAGCTGGAACCAAAGCGTGTTGTTAAAACAAACAGGAAACGATGGTTACGAACAATACACTTTGCTGCAAAATACAAAAGCATGGCATTTAAAGAGGCCTTAACAAACAGACAACGACACACGTACCATGAAGGTAGAACAGGGTCCACTCCGAAGGGGACCTGCTGCACTGCGGCGCCACTCCTTCGTCCGCCAACTCCTTCCATTTACTCTCTGGGACGCACCCGCCCGGGCCGCGCCCGTAAGTCTTGATGTGGCCGTTGTAATTGCTCCGCCGCTCTGACGCCTTGCGCATGGCCAGGTTTTCCTTTCCAGGGAACATGCAGATGACATAGTAGAATATGTCCTTCCCCACGCCAGCTTCCGCGTACTTCTCTGCAATCATTTCTCTCAGCTCGGGCCACAAAGGGTAGAAATTCCTCCTCCACGCAGGCGCGGCGGTTGTCATGAACGTGAAAGCCTCGAGCGCCTTTTTCTACAGTCAGGGCATTCCGGGTGACAGTGTTAATAAAAAGAAAGACAGGGAGATGCGATTGCCTAAACATTATCAAACGATTACAGGAAGTATATCCTATCTCAAAACAGAACCGCGAACAAACTCACCGAAAACAAATGGTCTTGTTCAAGTGTTGTAGGGACCAAGATGCTGCCGTTCTGGTCATGTGGTAACTGCTGCAAGTTGAAAGACGGGATCAGCGCCAAGTTCAGGGTTTGCCTTTGCTCCTCGCCGTTGTTGATGATTTGCTGCCGAAGTGCAACGACTAGAGCGGACAACTCGTCGTAGCGCAGATTGAGCGCTACGTATGCAGCCTCCTTATCATCAGGGCGATTTGGAGGTCCAGGGCGCGCTCTTGTGTCAGCTTGAGCGTGGATTGCAGGTCTTCATTCTCAGCACAAAGACGAAGCTCTGCTTGTGTTCTCACCGAAGCAACTTCTGTTTGTGGAAGAAAAAAACAAGTGCAAGGTGCGGGATTAAACATCGGCAGGCATGGCGAGGAACAACATGACAATAAATGCATGTTGAGTTGCGGTTGAGCTTGAAACTATACTCGCCAAATACGAACCTTAGTTAAATAACAGGAAAGGGAGAAGACTAACGGGATCATACCTGTGCGAGCCCGAGAGATAACAGGGAGGCCGTGAGCGTTAAGATGCTCCACGACCTCCATGGCGCCTTCTGCTGCGTCTTCTAACGGCCCAGTCAGATTAAGGGCCGAGGGTAAAATTTCTGTTACGGTAGGTAGAGTAGCAGCCGCAATGACTGGCGGAGCAGGGATAGGAATAGCTATTCCACCGTTGTTACTCGTCTCTGCCTTGCTGCCCTTTTTGGCTTTCTTACGCAACAACTCGGCAGGCAGGATGCCCTGTGCCTTCATCGCTTGCATCCACTCGACGAGCTCCTAGAACTTCGCGACAGGTTCGTCGGAGTCGCTTTCGATCGCCGTGTCGTCCAGCACTGCACCATCTTGCCCGAGTGTAACCAGACCCGTTTGGTCGTCCGGTGCCAACAATCGTTTCCCGCCATAGGCTGTACCAGCCACACCAGACATAACGACGCGTTTGCGACTGACGATAGATGCGGCTGTTTATGGTTGGTGAATGGCTATTTTTTTCTCACGAGGTTTGCCACGCATATGCCTCACCTGTTCGAGCTGGCAGATTACATTGACGGTGATTGGACGATTCCGTCCTATGCGGAAAGAGTGCGTCGTGGCATTGCGTCGCGCATCAACGTGTTTACATGGTTTTGTTTTGGCAGCCACGGTATTTTACTGTTTCGGTGTTGGAAAATTTAGGTAGTAATGCATCCCTGCCCGTATTTCCGCAGTTTTGCATGTTTCAAGCATTTCGTTCATATGGGGATGATTTTTTTGGAAACAAATTTTTTTTCACGCGTAACTAGAGATTACCTGACCACAGGAAAATGATGAATGAATGCGTACTAAAAAACAAAAAGGGCCACGGGCCCATGGCGCGAACTGGTACATGCAGTCCCACAGTCCAACTCACACGCAACCCTATCGCACGCTAGCAGCTATATGCTGCGCGTCGCGTCCGGCAGTCAATCCCATCCACCCACCATGGTGGTTCCTTTGTTGTCGCGTGCCACCTCAGCATGTCACAAATATATCCATTACAAACAACAATTTTCCTAACACGATCAATACTGAAAGGAACGACTACATTACAATACAGGCCAGGGCTTCGTTTTGGATTTGGCTAACTCACGATTGGCAGTGTAGCTTTTTTAAAAACCCTTCTGAGCAGTGTGAACTTTTTCATTACACTGCCAGAGCAGTGTAACATATCCGTTTTAAAATTTTACCCTGCAACTCCAGTGTGAGATTTTTCCGCACACTGCCACTAATATGTACTTATTAGATTTAAATCAACTCACATACTTGACAATTTATTTATAATCATTCAATTACTTCCATACTCATCCTCGCTATCACACTCTAAAACTGCCTTAGTTTCAGGAATGCACTAGTAAAAAAACATGTGAGTTCAGTACGAGTCAAACATTACGTTGAATGAGGGAATGGCATATACGCAGATAAGATATCCAAGAAAATGCCTTCCCAGGTCAGTAGCCAATGCAGACCAGCCAGCAGCACTGCAAACCGTAAACGGCTCTGGCACAGCAGAAAACATGGCGTCACTGGAGCAAACCAGGTATAGTTGCAGCAAAGTGGCCATTTAGCTGGTGGGACAAGTGGACAGCATCTAGCCAGTCCAAAGGAAGCCAAAGCAGTTGGCAAAGTTGTTCCCAATGCATTGCAGTCCGCTGCAGCGCCAGTCGGTGGGACACATGACAAGCGAGGCAGTGGCGCACAGAACATCTGCAAGCACAAGCACGAGCACAGGTACAGGTGGGCGGGGCAAAGAGAGGGGAGAGTGAGGGGCGAGGGGAGGCATTGCAGAAGATGGCACGTCACTTACAGGTGTACCAATGGCAGCAACACCCTGCCCTTGCGCACCCCACACTCACCAACACAAGCTAGCGGCAGCGTGGTGGCCCCAACAGCGTTGGGCGTGCCAGCCGCGAAGGGCGCAGAGGCGTCGACGGTACAGATGTCGCGGCCGTAGCACAGCATGCCCTGCGCCGTGTCGGAGAGGCAGAAGCTGCACCCCATGCTGCGCTGCACCGTGCCCTTGGTGGTGCACCCGGTGACAGCCTGGAAGCAGTTGTTGTTGGCGCCGCATGATGTGGCGGAGTTGGTCGGGAAGGAGCCCGAGAGGAAGTTAAAGCCCACGTCGAAGTCTTTGAGCCCCGCAGCTAGTGGTGGCACGCGGTATGTGAGGTAGTTGTAGGACAGGCCGCTGGCAGGAGGGCAGAAGGAAAAAGGGGGTTGGGGGAGGGACGGATGGATGAGAGAAGGATGGAGGTGCCGTGAAGGCAACCTATTTGATGGCACAAGAGTTGACACAGAAGCAGCGGTCAAAAGGGGTTGGCAGTTTGCTAAGGAGCAGACACGTGCATGGCAGCATGGAGGTGGCGCTTACACTCGTGAGCTTGGGCATCACTAGTTTCATCCTTTTAACATCAGCACCGACAATCTGAATGTGGTCCCACTCCCAGGACTTAGTTCAGGCAGCAATACTGTAGTTGCTGCCAATGTGGGATTGCGTGTCGTGCTGGCAAGGGAATTATTCCTAACTGACCAATCGGACACATGACAGTGGCCAACGCAAGTACGGGGGGGGGGGGGGGGGGGGGGGGGGGGGGGGAGGGGAAGGGGTGCTCTGTACGCACTTCAGTGTAATCTACGATAAGTAAAAAATTACCCCAAGGCATCAGTGTGGCCTAGAACGATACACTTACAGATCAGTGTAACACTACCAACTCATAAAAAAATTACCCCAGCACATCAGTGTAGACCCAAAATTTCACCCTTGTAATTAGTGTAGAAGGGTAAATTACACTGCAAACGTGAGCCCTGATACAGGCCCCCGTTTTGCACTTTCATGCTTTCTTTCTAGATGAAGCCCTTACTAGGCCCTTAAGGATTTGTTGGTTGTGATCATGCAGCAAACATGACGACTTGTTTAAATTGTAGAATTGTGTTGTACGCAAAGCGATACGACATTGTCTATGCGTGTACTGCCTTAAGTTTCAACAGGTCAATCACTATGGTTTGAAGTGACAAAATGGAATATCCATTATTATCCTACGGGTTACTAGTTTAGAGCATGAACTTATTAACTAGCCACACGTCCTCGCATGGCGCAGTCCGGACCAGCTCTACCGCCCGTAGGATACTGGTTACTGCAATGACACTATAGCGTTGCGACGAGTCAGCCCAAGTGAGATTTGTGCACTTTGTAGCTATGTCTTTGGAGGGGGTTGAGTCATAGTACTTTATGAAAGCATATGGCACCAGCAATCTCCCAATGCGGACCTCAAACAGTATCAGCAACTTAGCATACCATTCGAGAGGCTCTGCATCGTCACCCTCCCCAAGAACTGCGATGTTGGAGAACCATGGCCGACCATAGAACATCGGCGCAGCACGAACGTGATGAGGTAGGCGGCTAAATGCCGCATCGATTGCAGCTGGCATGGCCAGCCCGTTGTGGATCTGTGAGTGTAGTTATGTTGCAGGGGAAGGACGAGATAACGAGTATGTCAGAGAGAGAAGGAAGAGCGGTGAAAGAGGGATGAGATGCCACCATTTTGTATAGCAACAAAAGGGGGAAAGAGAGAGGAGGGGGATGAGGTGGTAGGTTCAAGGGATCATCTTACGTTGATGGTATCGATGCTACCTCCCGAGCATGCAGGTGCCTCATTCAAAGCGCCGCGTAGGAAGGGAAGGTCCGCAGATAACGACGTCAAGAACTCGCTATCTCGGTCAGCATCAGTTGTCAACGGCACCACGAAGGGTGCCACTAGCCGGTTGGCAGGGACCAACAACCTCCAACTCTCTCGAGTCATCACCCTTTCACCCGTCCGTTGAGCCTGCAGGCATGATCGTGTATAATAGGAATGAGTGGTATATCTACGAGTTGGAAGGTGTACGACCAAGTGAGCTATGAATAAAGTAGGACTCACCTCAACCATGCACGTGTCGTAGGCTTTACGCTTGCCGAGAACTGGTGCAATGGAGTCCAGGGGCAGACGTATCACCTCACTATTCATGATCTGTGCAGTGGCCGCGCGTCGGTTCGATGCTCTGTAAGGGTTCTTGATGTACTCGATGTGCAGGTGCTCAAACATCTGCGTAGAGTAGTGCTCTGGCAAGCCAGCACGACAGATCAAGTCAATGTAGTGGCTAATCAGGTGCATCTTGATGAAGCGTCACTTTGACGTCTGTAGAGGAAAGGCTGATTTTAGGGTGAAAATCAACCTGCCATACAATGGTGATGGTGGGGGAAAATATGTTTGAGCAGAAAGGCATTGGCTAGAATCCCATACTGGTAGTCTTACGTGTGCAACAACATATTGCATGCACGCGCTGCATAGTATAGTAACACATGGACATACCTTTCGGCCTTGTGCTTCAAATCACGCAGCGTCTCTGTCATATGCTCACTGGCGCGGGCACAGTAGGTGTACCAGTCAATGTAAGTTGCAATCGCGTCCAACTGTGCCTGAGGGACAGTCGACTCAAAGCCACGCACTAGAAAAGGAAGGACTTGCATGACACTCCTATGCTCATACGCCTGATAGCTCGCGCCTGAGGAGAAATACTCGCCCCCAGGCAGGCGCATGAACGGGTTGCGGTTGTGCTCCCGCAAGTAGGGCATTCTCTCGTCGGCCTCTTTTTTTTGAGCGATGGTGAGTTGTGTACGGAAAAATTCAATGATGTGCACAAGAATTCCCAAATCTGCCTGGTGCATGATATCAGGCATGACACTCAAATAAGGGTTCAAAATAGGAATAGATGACCAACGCCAACCCCACAGAAAACAATTCACCGGATGTGTTGACATGCTTGACACGTCTTTCGGAAACAACCGCATTTGCAAAAGCGAGGTAATGCCCTTTTGCAAATGTGGAGTACGAGGGACAATGCGAGGCAATAGTTTGTTGGTCTCAGCAACAGGGACTGTGCACAACGAGCATGGGAAGCCTGTGGCCCCCGATTTTGTGCAAGTCACCTTGCACGACTCCGGATAGTCACATGCGTATGCGTACAAACCAGGCCACGCGTTGTACGTGGCACCAGTAGGGTCCTGGACTCTCACTCCGGTGTGTGAGGCCTTTCGCAATGGTTCCATGACCATTGAAAGGATGTGTTGGAAAACAATCAACTTGTCTAGCGAATCGTACTGAGGCGTGAATTCAGGTAGCAAAGCAAGCAGTACATGGCCCCATGGCTTCCAACGGTCATGCTTGTCGATGTTTCCTAGTGTCCGGTACACTGGATGACCCTTGGCCTTGCCTCTTTGGTCCATATGTGTCTCGTCGCTCGACAATATCAGAGCAACCACGACCCCGTCCGGGTCCACTTTTTTGACCTCATTGTGCAAAGTAAACCACCAATCCCCGGATTCGGGTGATGAGTACACATGTGTCTCACTGGGGATGCGCGAAGTGGGTTTAAGAACGAGTTTGTCCGCATTCTTTGGATGTGTCAAAAGGTCAATCATCCCAATGACACCATCACAAAAAAAGAACTCTAACGAAGCTTTTGACTGTACGCGCACAAGACCTCGTCTCCAGTTACGGTGAGGATCTGGGATGCGTTCATCGACGTATTTTTCAACGTCTCGCGCATTTCTGAAAACGACAACGTCGTCATTGAACTTTGAACCAAGGATCAAGATGAGGAGCAACTTATCAATAGCACTTTTGGACAGATTGGAGGTAAGGAGGAAATGAGCGAATGCATCTGCAAAATTGAATGTGTCGCTCTCACCTACTGATGCCGCCCCACCATCCCCTACGCCATCAGCTTCAGCCCTCTCCTCTGTGTGGGTTTCGGGCTCATAAAGGGTGGGACTTGAATTAGGAGGAGGAGGTTGCGGGGTGTCAGGCATGGGTGCAGTTGCTGTGGGTATGTTCAACATAGGCCGTGGCATGGTAGCTTGCGTGGTGCGTGGAAGTTGCATGGAGCGTGAAGATTCAGCGGTCGCAGAACGATTTGCGGCGGTGGCTCTGCACGTTTCGCCATTTTGATGGTTTGTGAGCGGACCCCTACCAGAGAACCCGGCAGCTCCGCACACTCCGCAATTGTAAGCCATCTGCTATAAGAAGAGATGGGAGGGTGGTGGTGAGGGGCGGGCGGAGGGGAGGTGAGGAGGGAGGAGTAATGAGAGACTGCTGAGGGTGGAAGGATCCCTGAACGAAGGAGCGGGGGGAGAAGGAGGCAGTTGAGTGCACACAGCCAAGGGTATCAGGCAGAGGGAAGGCAGGGGGCTTACGAGGGCGGCACAAGCTTACGAGGGCGGCGGGTGTAAGAGATGGTGACAGGGGAAGGGTGGGAGACGGGGGAAACCGGGGGCGACGGGTGTATGAGAGGATGACAGGGAAAAGGGTGGGAGATGGATGGAAACATGGGCAAAGGGGGAAGGGGTGGGTGACGGGGAGAAACGAGGGCGACGGGGCAGGAGTAGGTGACGAGGGCGGGGGTCAAGAAAAGGTGGGGGTCAAGAAAAGGCGGGGGCGGAAGGGGAGGGCGAGAGGGGAAAGCCAGAGGCGACGGGGGAAAGCCAGAGGCGACGGGGGAAAGCGAGTGCGACGGGGGAAAGAGTGGGTGACGGAGGCAAACGAGAACGACGGGAGAAGGAGTGGGCAGCAGGGGAAAGCGAGAGGGACGGGGAAAGGAGTGGGCGGCGGGGGAGAGTGAGAGAGACGGGGGAAAGCAATGACGACGGGGGAAAGCGAGGGCGACGGGGGAAGCAAGTGTCAAAATTAGAAGAAAGAAAGAGGAATGAACTAGCAGAAATGGGGATACAAATAGCAAACCCTAGAAGGGTTGTACTTGCTATAGAGCACCCCACTACAGGCTAGAACATAAGAATTATATTCTGACACACCCCCATAGCCAAAGTGGGGTGTAATCAGCAGAGCAGGCAAAACAGTACAAGCTCAGGGTGGATCACAATGTCACCACGCATTCTGAGCACAAGGTCAAGAAGAAATAGTTCAAAGTTAACAATTATGAGCAAAGCTAGCAGTGGTCACAACGGGCAAGTGAGGAGGAGGAGGGAGAGTGAGAGGAGAGGAGATAGAAGGCGGCGGCTGAAGCTGCAGACACACGGGCAACAGGAGTGGCGAGCACAGTGGCTACCGGGACAGCGCCCCGGACTACGGGAGTAACAGGCCCCGCGGCTCAAGTAGCGGCAGACGGGCAACGGACCCACAGGCGACCGGCTCAGCGACAAGCTCACTGGGCTACCGGGACAGCGCCCCGGACTACAGGTGCTGCGGACGACAAACTGGCAACCTCCGCTCAACCTCCCACACACAGTCCCACCCCCCTCATACACACCCACTGCTACACCGCTAGCTCCACTCCCACGCACCCCCCTTAAACCCTAAACCCAGTCTCCCACACAACCACCCCCCTCAGCGACAGCTGCAGCAGTGGGAGACGAAGGAGGAGGAGGAGAAAGGGAGGAAGGCACACCGGCCACCCCCATACCCGCCACCCCACAGCTCGCCCCTCAAGCGGCCCCCTCAGGTCGCCTCGACGGACGACGGGAAATGGCAGGGGGAGGGGGGGGGGGGGGGGGGGGGGCAGTGCCGCGACGAGGGGCGGGGCCGCGACGGTCGGGGCGGGGCCGCGACATAGGGCGGGGCCGCGAAGGTAGGGCGGGGCCGAGCCGGGCAGGCGCACGGGCGGCGACGGGCCGGGGCGGGGCCGCGACGAAGGGCGGGGCCGAGCCGGGCAGGCGCACGGGCGGCGACGGGCCGGGGCGGGGCCGCGACGAAGGGCGGGGCCGAGCCGGGCAGGCGCACGGGCGGCGACGGGCCGGGGCGGGGCCGCGACGAAGGGCGGGGCCGAGCCGGGCAGGCGCACGGGCGGCGACGGGCCGGGGCGGGGCCGCGACGTAGAGCGGGGCCGCGTCGAGGGGCGGGGCCGCGACGATCGGGGCGGGGCCGCGACGTAGGGGAGAAGCCCGCCGCGCGCCCCGGGGCGCACAGCGGGCAATGAACCGCCGCGCGCCTCGGGGCGCACGGCGGGCAGAAAACCGCCGCGCGCCTCGGGGCACACGGCGGGATGAAAAAATGCCGCACGCCACGGGGCGTGCGGCTCAGAGAGTAGTAGCAGTAGTAGCAGCGGAAGCTAAGCGGTGGTAAGCCCACCCACAGGATCGATCCAGGGGGATCGACCTGCTCTGATAGCATGTCAAAATTAGAAGAAAGAAAGAGGAATGAACTAGCAGAAATGGGGATACAAATAGCAAACCCTAGAAGGGTTGTACTCGCTATAGAGCACCCCACTACAGGCTAGAACATAAGAATAATATTCTGACAGCAAGGACGATGGGGGAAAGTCAGAGGCGACGGGGGAAAGAGTGGGTGACGGGGGCAAACAAGAACGACGAGAGAAGG